CCCCAAAACCCCAAAACCCCAAAACCCCTTAATTCTAAGATTCTGCTAAATATTAGTATACAAAAATTAAATGGATAATGTTGTATTGTGAGTATTTTCATATTCATTCATGTCTGAATATTTCTAGCTTATTAATCTAGATTTTTGTTGTTTCTCATTTCGTCGATGTCTACTGGCAAGTCCAAACTCTTAACAATCTTTTTCAGTTTTTCTCTGGCTCCAACATAATCACTTGGCTCTGTAAACTGCAGAGGGAAGGTTGAAATCTTCTCCATACTTGCTTCAGGATTCTCAAACAAATCTGTGATTGAGGCTTTACCCTGATCAATGAGAGCGACTTCATCATTTTTAAACCATCTGAGCTTCTTGCCGTCTTCCCAAAGGCCATATTTAGACTTGCCATCCTTGGACATAAAGATTCCAAGTCCATGCTACTTACCGTTGAACCACCAGCCTGAGTATTGCTTCGAATCTGACCAAATGTATATACCAAAGCCATGCTTCTTGTCTTCTTTGTAATAGCCTTCATACATTCTTCCATCTTGCCAAGTATAAATTCCAAAATCATCCATTATATTAGCTTTCCAGTGGCCAATATACTTTCTGCCATCTGACCATTGATAAAATCCATATCCAGCAATCTCATTATCAACCCATTAGCCCTAGTACTACGCTCCATCAGCCCAATTGTATTTTCCCACGCCGTTTTTCTTGCCATCTAAGTAATTTCCTTCAAAGATAGATCCATCTGGCCATTACTCAGATCCATTACCATGCTGGAGGTCTTTATACCATTCTCCTTCATATTTTGCACCATTAGAATGAATATAAGTTCCAATACCATGAGCTTTATCATGATACCAGTGACCATCATAGATCTCACCCTTTGAATGAGTAAACACCCCTTTTCCGTTAGCTCTTCCTAAAATCCAATTGCCATCATAAAATGCCCCATCTTGCCATTGCATGAGACCTCTTCCATGTCTGAATCCTCCTTTCCATTCTCCACTATACTTTGAACCTGTAGTTTTATATATATGATCCCTTTTGACTAGTGACTACTTCTCATTATATTTCTTCGTTAAAGAGATCGTCTCAGAGAATTCCTCGTCTAAAAAGTACTTCTTTTTTATCTTTAATGATTTCTTCATCAATTTAATCATGTATCTAGTCCTAAATCCTCTCCACATTGATTGAAATCTTATTATGAATCATAGATTGTCATTTCCTTTTTTGAGGAGTTCCTCTGAGTTATATTTAACCTGCGAAGCTGACTTTGATAGTTAGTTCTTTGGTAGTCTCTGATGACTGACTGTCTAAGAAACATTACTGCTATTCTTCAAAATTCTTCGCTATGCAACATTCAACTAGTCCTCTTTTTTCTGATCTTCTACTTTCTATAAGGTCAAAGTCATTTTATTAATTTATATACATTGTCATCATATTCATATTTTCGATCACCGAAATTACAGTCGCAATTATTACAATTTCCCATTTCTTATTAATTTTATTAGTTTGTTAAAAATTCGTATTTAAAAAGAACGGGGTTTTGGGGTTTTGGGGTTTTGGGGTTTTGGGG